TGTGGATCGTTGTTAGGGTCGGCATGGGTTACGGATGGGTTGGTTCTGTTCTCTCAACTTTGTCTGCGTCTGTACGAAGAGAAAAAACGAGCCTTGTTTCAGCATCGTCGTTCTGATCGAGATCATACTCTGTTTTTCTCTGTCTCTAGAGACCAAGTAAGTCCCTCTTAACGAATGAATCTATATACTGTGTCTACTTTGAAATTAGGTTATTGTTGTTTATCGTCTATTTGCTTTGTATTGTAAATTGTTCCGTAACTGGCCTCTTTTCTCTGCGATCATCTCTTTTGATTCTTGGACTTGTCTGTTTCTTTCTACCTAATCGGCCAGATTGAAACAAGTGAGTAGATTGATTGTCTTTTTTCAGTTGATGATTAGTCTTCTTAAGAAAAGTGTTTACTTTGAGACACTTTCTTCTTGGTAGCTTCTCTAGTTTCTTCCTGTCTTGTATGATATTGCTTCTAGTTTATATATCAACAGTATTTGTCCCCATCAATCTTATCTCATTGCTATAGTTGTCTCTCTTCAAGACTAACTGATTTACAACGAACAAATCCAAATGCAGTTCATGTACGAGGAAGAGACTTTGGCTTCAAGGGTAGACAAATCAGAGTTTACTAGAGACGCTCAGACGTACTAAGACAAGCACAACACATCTATAGATCAGATGGTAAGGAAATCAAAGAACATGTTTCTTTTTTTTTTGGCTTTAAGTGAATGTCTCTCAAGGTATTTAATTGACGAGTCACACATGGGTTTTGTTTTGTTAAAGCAGCACAGTCGAGGAAAGAAGCAGAGTCGCAAACAGAACAAGATCTTAGACAACTCTTGGTGGCTTGTGAAGCAGAGGTGATACTTCTCTTCTCAAACTCCGTATACTCTTGTTTTATTGTTCTTTCTTTAGTGATTACAGATTCATAACAATATCATTCTGACAAAGAAAAATATCATTCTACAGTGAACTCACCTCTAGTAGCAAGTTCGTTGGTTCACTCTTGCCGCACCGTTGGCTTTTGAGGTCACTTCTTTTACCCTCTTAATGTGAATTGTAGAATCATGTATAGGAGATAGGTGGCGTATGAAATGTGTCTAGGCTTTAGGTAGTATGTAAGCATAACTTACACAATCCACAATCTCCAAGATCCAAAGTTTTTAGGAGAGAGATTTTAAATTGTCGGATTAATTATCGAAACTTTAAGTGAATTACCTAATAGTGAAAACTAACCGAACATGACGTCCCGTCTTAGTATCGTTAGCGATGGCGTGTTTAACTTGTCTTTTCACTATTATGTAATCACTTAATTTTTTCTAATTGATTTGACTATAGAATTTCTTATTCTCTCGCACCTCAACCCAACCCTTAGGAGAATTAAACTGGTCTAGATAGATTAAGTTTAGGATATATTTTTGAAGGGAAAATTCCATATAATACCCCAACTAAATTCCAATAAGTTTTTTAATACCTCAACTTTTTTAATACCCAAATAAATTCTACAACTATTTTCTTTGACAAGTTTAATTCTCCAACTCTTATCTGTCTACTCAGTTTACAAACTCGGGTTAATAAAACAGTAACTTTCGTTATTTTTTTTATTTCAATTATTTTTTTATTTGTCTACGAATTTCGTTATTTTTTTTATTTCATAAACAGTAAATTGTTTTTAAAAAAATCAAAACAATTTTCAAAATCGAAAAAACTCCAAAAAATTCCTAAAAGTTTGGTTTTTTTTTTTAAATTAATAATAACTAAATTTTGTTAACAAATAAATTATAG